AAAAAAAAAAAAAAAGACATAAGATCAACCTAACCCTACTTTTACAACTATGAACATACCTCTCCCATAATGAGAACTGTGTATCATTACTTCATTTTGACTCTGAATTCTTTTGGGAGCCAAATAACTTACATGACAGATTCCCCCAAGAAACACCCTTAGCACTAGATCTCATTGATGGGATTCCATCCTTCTCTTCCTCTGACCTCGTGAGTGGATCTAATGGTAGATGCCTCTGAAATCCAATCCTTTTAGATCTGCCTGTCTATGAATCAATTGTCATGCCTCACCAGGGCGTCCTAAGTACAGAGTAAGGATAAACAGAATGTGACTGCATCAGGCAAAGGAATTGTCTCTTTCCTATTTCACCGCATTATAATCATACTAACGAAGCTGTTGATATCAGGTTTATGAATCTTGTCTGACCTGCCAGATGGCTTTCTAGATAGCAGAGCTGAGCAATTAGCCACCGCCTTACCTGGGGATAAGAGTGTCAAAAAGAGGAGTGTGAAGAGAAACACATGGAGTCTCATGGCTGAACGTCCAGTGGAGAAAAGAGGCATCGACATGCTTAGAGCCTGGGGTTGCTGAGCCGGGCAGATCCTTGGCTATTTACGATGCTTCCTGGGCCTGTGGTTTGTTCTTGGTTAGTAGAGCCTAACAAAAAGGGAATAAGTCAGGCTCCCACAGGAAATCTCCAGGGCCAAAGTACCCAAAGGTGGTGATAACTCATGGACGAGAAAGCAGAAGGTCATACTGTCCATTTCCCACACACTGAGGACATCCTCATTGTCAGCTCTGTTCTCCAGTAGGCTCCATGCATGCATGCATGTACAATCATCGATCATGCCTTATGTATCTGTGATGCATCAGGCCGTACAGCAAAACCCAGGGCTACACCAAATCCATCACAATCAGATAATGGGAGATGGAAAGTTAAGTGAGTGTGGGCAGTAGTCTAGGTAAAGGACACAACCCAGAAGAGACGGTGGTTATTTTATATAAATCAATAGTATTAGTTTCTACCAAAGGGTAGGAGAGGGGAGGGGTAACGAGAATGTCAGGAAAGGCTTCGTAACAAAGGTGATACGGAGCATGCTTCAAAAGAGTTCCGTGTTTCATCTTTACAGCAACACTGTTATGTTGAAAGCATAATCCAAACTCTTTTTATATGTTATATCCTTTTAACTTGATTTTTAGTATGTATTTAAGTATTTGTATTCTAATTAAAACCTGGAATTGAATCTAGAAAACACAGAAAAGCATAAAAACATTAAACTGCTTGGAATTCCACTACTGAAATTCAATCATAGTTTAAGATTTTAGGAAATTTCTCCCAGTATAGGTATCCTTTGCTATCTTGGCAGAATAATCACTATGATAATTGTACTTCATTTTAAACTACATTGCACTCTGTAGATAAAAATCTACTTTGTTGGATACTATGATTTTCAGCTCCTCTGATGGTGCCCAGTGACCCCTGCCTCCTTTTCTTCATGCCTTTGTGCAATCTCCTTTCCTCAGAGGAGGCTGGACATGGGAATAGGGTACCGCAGAATGGATGGGATATTACTTTCTAGATTGGGTTACATTTTTTCCATCTTGGTTACCCTCTCTAACCCTTATTCTGGCTTATTCAGTTGCTCTGAGTAAAGCGGCTGCCATATTCTGAGCTGCCTTATGAAAAGACCCTTGTGGCAAGGGACTGATGATGCTAGCAATTAGCTAATGAAGACCTGGGCCCTGTCAACAATGACACAGGTGAGCTTGGATGCAGATTCCTCCCATGCACTCACAGTCCATCCTCCGGGTGAACCCCCAATCCGGGCCAAAAGCTGGACTGTGGGTGCATGGGGGCCTCATCAGAGCCCTTGAGCCAGAGGCACTCACCTGAGCCTCACCACATAAATTGTTTACATAGTAAATTCTTGTTTTTTCAGGCTTCTAAGTTTGGGGTAATACGTTGTGCGACAATCGATAGCTAATAATACAACAGTGCATCTGTCCTCTGGCAAAAATGCTTTCATAGGGCATGAGTTCAGGTGCGAGGATGCCATATGTGTCACAGTTGTGTTTTAGGTCTTTTCCAGCCACGCGTTAAAGAGGGGGACGTATAAAAATATGTAAAATCGCCACGCAAATGACCCTATCAACCTTGTGTACAATTAGGCATCTGAGTGTGTGTGTGTGTGTGTGTGTGTGTGAGAGAGAGAGAGAGAGAGAGAGAGAGAGCGATGGGATGGGAGAGAGAATAAAGAAATACCATGAGGAAAAAATGATTGGTTCAGGAGTATTCCCTGTGATAAACAAGCATTGCTGTTTCTTTTTCAACTTTATGTTCTTTGTTGAAAGAAGGAAGAGCAATGAATACTCCATGATAAAACTGTAAAAGAGACATTTTAGATCCTGCTGAAAAAAAAATCATTGCTATTGGTAATAACCATAATGAGGAGGTGAGCAGAGACAATGACAGTGGTCAGTTACAAAGTCCATTTCATGTCACCAGGAGCTCTATAATCACAGGGAAAGAAAGCACACAAATACCCATTTACAGCTTTTGCTTCTTTGTTTCTTCTCTTTGCTTCATTCAGAGATTCAGACAGATCAGCGCTTATGGCCAACTGATTCTGAGCCAGCAAGAGCTGTGAGTGCCAAATCCACCACATTTTTGGATTTGAACCTGGCGAATCTCACACATTTTCTGGTTCCCTCCCAGTGTGGCCATTTCACTTTTGCTCGACTCCCCCTCCCTTAATCCAACCATGACTGTCTCACCCCCCTTCTCCCACTACCAAACCTCACTGAGCCACTGACTATTTAAAAATATTGTCTTGTTTATTTTTTATCTTGCTAAATATTATTTTCATTCGTTCTGTACCTTTACTGCACTGTTTTATTCTTCATTTACACCCCAGCACATATTGATTGCGGTGTAGAAGGAAACACAATTCCTGTAAGATTTTGTTGTGTTCTGTTACATATATGGACCTACCAGTGTGTCATATGTTAAATAATGAGGAAATTGACGTTTTGAGTGCTTGAAATTGTACAAAAACCCTTGGCGGATGTTTAAGTAGATATCGAAGAGGATTTTAGTGATGCTCTTCTGCTAGTGGAGAAGCAAGAAACACGAAAATTATGTTTCATTGGATACACTGCAGAGCACAGTCACCGTCAGAATTGTTATCACATTCAGTTGAATAACATTTTACACTTTACATTATTTTACATCATAATCCGGTATAGTATGTAGAAATGTTGGCTTCTCTGCTAGGTAAATCAGTATAAGGAAGATTTTCATTATCATTTCCTTTCTGGTTATTAAGAAGGTTTTTAAATTATTTTATGCTTTCTTACCTTAGTGTTCATTTTGTTATTAAATTCCAGTTACACTGCATGATGATCAAATGTACTTGTCCGTGCTATTTTCACTTAGAATGATTGGGGATCTTGGGTCAGTTCTCCTTTATGTTCTGTAGAAAGAGAAATTGAGGGGCGCCCCGTTGGCTCAGTCAGTTGAGTGTACCACTCTTGATTTCAGTTCGGGTCGTGATCTCAGTTTGTGAGTTCCAGCCCCACATCGGGCTCTGCGCTGACAGCGTGGGGCCTGCATGGGATTCTCTCTCTCTCTGCCTCTCTCTGCTGCACCTCCCCAGCTTGCTGTCTCCCTCTCTCTCTCTCTCTCTCTCTCTCTCTCTTTCTCTCTCTCTCTCAACGTAAATAAACTTTAAAAAAGAAAAGAGAAATTAAATTATATCTCACATTGATAACGCTTAGAGTTGAACATATGTTTTCTAGATTTTACTTTACAAACTGTTGTCTTAGATCCTCTATAGTCTTAATGTATTTTTCACCTGCTTGATCTATCAATTGTCCGTGATGAAATACAGCCTTCATTACGCTTTGTCTCTTTATCCGTTAGGCACCTAGACCTGTCTGACAGATTTAGAGGATGACGAGTACGTAGCAGCAGCAACAGAAGGGCACAACTAGTAGCCGTGACAGCAGGACTTATAGGAGCCGGGATTCAGGTGACTGGAATGTACCAGTATTTTGAACAAATTTAAAACCAGATTGGTTGCACAGGTAAAGAAGGGCTCAAGGGAGGGCTGAGGTTACCCAGAGATGATGGCAGGCAGCAGGTGCTACCCCGCAAGGGGACACCAAAATGGAAGCAACCAAGAGCCTGCAGAGGGGTCTCCCAGCTCTCCAGCTCCTGAGGAAGGACCTGCCGCCCAGATGTCGTGGGCATCCTTGGAGCTCTGAGAAGAGACTTCTCTTCCTATGGAAAGGGGACAGGAACTAGCTGTTGCTGGTGTCTCTGTGTGGGCACGACAAGGTTGGCTCTGGCCGTGCCCTAACAAGGGGGACACTGCAGCTGATTGGTTAAGGAAGCTCTTCCCCTCTTCTCCAGGCTCCAGCCCCCTCCCCCTCCCCAGGGCCTGATGTTTGTTGTGACTCAACTGGAAGCCGGTCAGCAAAGGAGCCTGGGAGGTGTAGTTTGCCAGCCGCTGTCCCAGCGTCACCGGAGCACTCTGGGACACAGTGGTGCCACCGCAGAGACAGCATTCCACATTTTGAATAGGGATAATTTCCTCTGACGTGCAGATGTTTTAAGTGATTATGTTGTACGCTCATTTATAATTGCTTGGATGGCTTTTTAAGTCATCTAGGGAAACAGAGTTCCACAGCATTATGCAAAAGATTAAGCATGGAACGGGGAGTGAATTAATCAGATTTGTTTGGACAATCAGACCTGATTCTGGTTGGGCCAGGAATTTGGTAGGCTTAGGAAACAATGGAGAAGTGAAAGCAAGGGACAAACAGTCTGTAAGAAAAACTATGTTAATAATGACGCTGGAGTGTCCAAAAATTTCTTTCCTATGCTGCGTTAAAGGCTATGCCTTTAATTCAGAAGAATAGATGTGGGAGTGGGTTGGTGCCTCATACCTACTTACAGGTGATCTGGGGTCTCCTAGGGAGGCCAGGACGTGCTCTTGAGGCAAGACATTGATCTTCTTCTGGTTCTTCTCATTGCCTCAAAGCCTATAGCAGTTTTTCAACCTCAGCACTGTCAACATTTGGGGACAGATAATTCTTATTTCTCTGTCTTCAAGGTCATCCCTGTCCACCGTAGGGTGTTTAGTATCATCCCTGGCCACCGGCCATTAGACGCCAGTAGCGCCTTTCTCATGGTCAGAACTACAGTGTCTCCAGACATCGCCAGTTCTGTGCTGGGGCCAAACCTTGTCCTGTCGGGACTTCTGGTTTACGACATCTAAATCCTCGTGCAAGGTTTGTTTTTCTCTGGCTGTTTGGACCAATTCTTAGGGCTGAGGCTTGGCTCTAGCATTATCAGGGTGCAGCTGACTTTGAAAGAACCTAGGAAGAAATGAAGGTTACATGAATGTATCCGGAGTGGGGTCACACGGGATTCTTTGCTATCCAGTTATCAGTGCACAAGGCTTTATACTTTGGACTGTGAGAGAGAATGAGGTGGGTTCTCTGCATGACTGGACCTCCTCCGGGTTGTCTGCCCCTGTAGTTGAGCCAGGCCTCAAGAATCCAGGGAAGTTATGGGGATAGAAGCTGTGGTTACTCTGGAGGACCATGTTCTAGGTGGACAAATAAAACAGATTCTTATAAATGAATGCTATCATGGCACTGCTGCTTAATGAAAAGGAGGCACAAGTTATTAGAGTTATGTAAAGGGAACAGCAAAACTCTAAGACAGGAAGACAGATGATATTCGGTCTGTTGTATTTTAAGTCAGAATTATTGGGCTATCCCTTATATGCAGTAAAATTTTATTCATTAAAATTTAGTGTACATTTCTTTCTTTTTTAAGTTTATTTATTTATTTTTATTGTTTGTTTTAATTTTTGTTTTTTGAGAGAGAGAGAGAGAGAGAGAGACAGACAGAGTGCAACAGGGGAAGGGGCGTAGAGAGAGAGAGAGACACAGAATCCAAAGCAGGCTCCAGGCTCCAAACTGTCAGCACAAAGCCTGATGTGGGGCTCGAAGTCATGAACTGTGAGATCATGACCTGTGCCATGCTTGGATGCTTAACTGACTGAAACACTCAGGTGCCCCTATTTATCTTTTTTTAGTAATCTCTGCACTCAACATGGGACTCAAACTCATGACCCCGAGATCAGGAGTCACATGCTTTTCTGACTGAGCCAGCCAGGCACCCTGAAATTCAGTGTACATTTCTATGAGTTTTGAAAAATGCATGTAGTCGTGTAACCAGCATCACAATCATGCATTGGATGGCCCCCTTACCTTTCTTCCTCTCTTTGTGCAGTCAACAGCTCAGGCCTCCAGCCCTTGACCACCACTTATCTTTCTGTCCATATGGTTTTGCCTTTTCTTCTTTCTTAAGTTTTGGTAGTTTCTTTAAAGTTTCTTTAAAGGAATTTACCCTTTTCCACCAAAGTTGTTGAATTTAATGACATAAAGCTATGCCAAATAAGACCTTCTTATTGATCCAAGATTTGTTCCTTTCTTTTATTACTGATGTTGGTCATTTGTGTTTAGTTTCTCCCTTGACTTTCTCTCAGGTCAGCACATAAGGGGTTTGTACATTTTATTGATCTTTCCAATGAACCAACTTTTGATTTCATCTTTGATTTCTGTTTAATACATTTTTCTTATTATCCTTATTACTCTCCTGTCTTTCTCATTTTAGATTTTCTCTTCTTTGGCAATGTGAACATATGGATACTACAATGTATTTCAAAATGCTAATTTAGCTTTATTCCACACATTCTGATATGATATGCTTTCTTTTTTACTCAGTTCAAAATGCTTACTCATTTTTATTCAGAGTGCATTGTTTAATTTCCAAATATATGGGAATTTCCCCAATACTGAATATTGGTTTCTACTTTACTTTTGTTAGGGTTGCAGAACATACTTTGTATGATTCCGATAATTTTGTTTATCAAGACTTGTTTTGTGGTTTATATTGGTAAGTGCACACTTAAAAAGAATGTTTGGGGCACCTGGGTGGCTCAGTTGGTTGGGTGTCCAACTCTTGATTTCGGCTCAAGTCATGATCTCATGGTTTGTGAGATGGAGTCCCTTGTCGGGCTTTGTGCTGATGGCATAAAGCCTGCTTGGGATTCTCTCACCCTCTGTCTCTGCCCGTCCCCTACTCACATGCACTCTCTTTCTCTGTCTCCCAAAATTAAATAAACAAACTTAAAAAGAATGTTTATTCTGTGGTTGTGTGAAGTTTTTAAATAATATTAGTTAGATTAAGTTGGTGGTCATCTTATTCAGATCTTTGATATGCTTACTGAATGTAAGTCCTCTCGTGTTACTGATAACTGAAAAAGAAAAATTTTATTGAGATATAATTGATACATAACATTATATTCGCTTCAGGTGTACCACATAATGATTCAATATATGTCTGTATTGTGAAGTGATCACCACGGTAAGTCTTATTAACATCTGTCAGCACACACAGTTATAAATGTTTCCTTGTGATGAGAACTTTTAAGTTTTACTCTTTTAGCAACTTCCAAACGTGTAGTATTATTAACTATAGTCGAGTGCTGTACATGATACCCTGAGGGCTTATTTATTTTATAACTGGGGGTTCACACCTTTTGACCCCCTTCGTCCATTTCACCACACATCCCCCGACCCCTGCCTCTGGCAACTGCCAGTCTTTCCCTATATCAATGAGTTTGTTGTGTTTTTTTTTTTCTTTGAATTACACATATAAGTAAACTCAGATGGCATCTGTCTTGCTGTGTCTTTCTGAATTTTTTCACTTCGTGTATGTAATGCCATCAGGATCCATCCATGTTGTCATAAATGGCAGGGTCCCCTTATTTTCGTGGCTGAGTAATATTCCATTGTGTCTGTGTGTGTATGACATTGCCTTCATCCATCCATCCCTGGAACCTGTGAATATGTCACCTCACATGGCAAAGGAGGTTGCACTGGAAGTTGGAACTGAAGATCCCAGTCGGCTGATCTTAAAATAGGGAGATTACCTTAAATTATCTAGGTGGGCCCAATTTAATGACAAGCCTCCTTCAAAAAGGGAAGAGAGAGGCTGCAGGTTAGTTTTGAGTGTTAGGATGTGAGAAGGATTAAAGCCCGGTGTTGGCTTTAAAGATGGGTGAAGCATAATGGCCCATGATGCACAGGGACATTCCACCATTGCTGCCCTAACCACGGAGGAAGGGAGCCATAGAGCTTCCAGAAGGGAACTCAGCCCTGCCAATACCTTGATTTTACCCCATTGAGATCCACGTCCATGGATCTCTGTTAGATTCTGACCGACAGAGCTGTCAGATAATGAATTGTTTTTGCTTTAACAAAACAACGATCTGTGGTAATTTGTTAGAGCAGGAAGAGGGAGCAATGCAGTGGCTTACAGGATGGAAGGAAAGCTGAATGGCCATGCCCAGTGAAAGTGGGAACTTGAGAAATTCCATGGATCTCAGCCAGAAACACATGGACAGGCCAGAGCGCTACCTCTGGAAAGAATGTAGAAGAGGTTGTCTCGTATCTGGGTGCTGCTCTGTCTGGGGAAATTTCCTGTACGTTGCCTCTTTGTC